GTTCAAAATTAAATATTGCTGAAGTACAACGTTTTAGACAAAGGGCTGAATAATAAAATGGACATTGCTAAAGAAAGAATTGGCAAACTTGAAGGTATGGTAGAGAAATATGATCATGACTTAGAGCAAGAATTTAAAAAGGCAGATTACATGAGAGAAGTGTAAAGACATGGAGGAATCTAAAATTGGTTTTATAGACACAGATAACAGTATGGTGGTTACCAGAGGGAAGGGGGATGAGAGGGTAGTAAAGGGTAAAGGGTGTCAAATATATGGTGACAGAAGGCGATTTGACTTTGGGTTGTAAAATCCCCATCAGCAGATCACTAGAAAGGCAGGTGTTGATTCCATATACTCCAGGTATCAGTCTACAGCCGTATGAACTATCCCAGATTATGTAAGTATGAATAAAGAAGTATCTCCTCCATTCTGTATCTTCTGAAAGTTACATCAGCAGAAACAGGGAATGTACTGTACACACGTGGGAAAAACATTTCTGAGTCCAGTGCTTGGCTGGGTGTCCTAGTACATTTGGGCTGCTATAGCTTATCAACCACAAACATTGTTTCTCTCAGTTCCTGGGCTGGAGTTCTGAGATTACGGCGCCAGCAGATTCAGTGGCTCTGAGAGCCCATTTCATGGGGCATAGCTACTGCCTTCTCTCTGTGTCCTCACATGGAGAAGAGGGGAGGGGTTCTCTGGTCCCTTTTATAAGGGCTCTAATTTCATTCCCGAGAGCTCTGGTCTCATCATCAAATCACCTCCCAAAGGCCCGCCTCTGAGCACCATCACTCTGGGAGTTAGGATTTCAAGCTATGAATTTGGGGGAGTAGGGAGACACAAACATTCAGAAAATAGTATTTAGGCTGTGAATGCTTTACCTCCTCAATATCACACTTTGCAGGTGACCTGATACCTGTGAGCACAATAAAGGATTATTGAGTGCGTGTGGTTCTAAGATACTCACTGATGATTACGGTAAGGACTGTTGTGATGTCTTTAAGACAGGTTTCTTATTAAATGAGCTGGCTCTTTCATAATTCTGGTAATCTAGGAGTCCTCCAACCATCTCAACTAAGCCAGGATATGTCTTTGGCCCCATCAGGTATCAATGAATCATAAAAACCATTTTTGTAGTCACAAAAATTGATAATACTGTTCATGCAATTAGTTTACTACCTTTACAAGTATTCTAGCAAGTATATTTCCATAAGGGCAAGTAGGATAAGACATTTAATTTTTTTGTAATTTCAAAGTAATATAGAAAAGGGGCATGGGAACTATACAAGTCAGCTAACGTCAAAGTTAAGTCCGGGCCTGCTCTGTGCTGTCCGACATGGAACTAAGCTAACTGACTGAAGCTGGAAGCAGACCAGTAAGAGACTCCGGACAAAGACAATTCCTGCAAAGACTGATTAATAGCTACTCACCCATACCTTATCGCTTACCCGTCCCATAAAGGGAAAACAGACCACAAAATACACCTTGTAGAGGTGAAGGTTAATCCCAATGGTGCGTTTTTTTTCTTTTCCATTCTCTATTTCCCCATACAGCAATTTTCCACAGAAACTACAAACATATAAGCTCAACCTCTAGAGATGGTTGGGGTCTCTCTTCCTGCTCTTGTGAGGAGAGTCTGCCACTCTGTGTGTGGAGTGGCCTTTCTTGCTTGTCCTCTCTGCTCAATAAAACCTGCTTTCCTACTTCGACCTCTTGTCTGGCTCGAATCCTAAATTCTTTCCTGCCCATAGCCAAGAACCCTCTGGGCTCGGGGCTGGAGTCCCCACTAGGGACTTGCCTCTCTGGAATCATAAATATTTTCTTTTTATTTTGTCTTGATTGAAAGAAATACATTGGTGAAGAAATGGCAAACAATATGAAAGTGGCTGTGTGTAGTATCACATATCAGATAATTTCAGGTAAAATAGAACCCAGGGCTAACCCAATGAACTAGAGATAGGGGTGTTTTACATTGATAAAAGTTACAAGCCCCTGAAAAGATGTAAGAGACATGGGTCTTTATGCCCCTGTCAACAGAGCCTTGAAATACATAAAAAAAAGTTCTAAATACTCAAGAAACAAACGAATCAACATTTTTTCTCAGAAATCAAGAGATCGGGTAGAGGGGAAAAGCAATAACACTGGGGTACTCACTGAGCATGATTTCAGCCTAAATCAAGCATTTGGGGCTGTGAAGAATCACTGTGCCCCAGGGGTAACAAGCTCTTAGAGGGGGGACTACCAGGAGGTTAGGTTGATGGGAATTGGGGGGCCATCAGAAGGATGGGGAAAACTTAGGAATCAGGAAAAGTCTCCCACATCCTCCCTCCTGCTTAGCGCCCAAGGCTGGTCGGCTCTCCTTTCTGGCCCACACAACCTCTGCAAGGCCTGTGACAGAGGGGGCCAGGGTCACAGCTGCAGGCCAGGGCAGGGGGCACTTGTATTCAGAGGAGAATATCACGGGGGGTCGTGCAGGTTGAGAATCCCTGTCTCCTCCAGCTGCTCCACCTCCTTGAATAAAGGGTCCCTCCTCAGAATCCAGACATCCTGGGTCCGCCTCGGGCCCTCAAGAGCCCCGGGTTGAAAACGAATGCTTGAGGGTACAAAGTGGGAAGTATCCCAGAGTCTGCAGTTGTGCTCCCCAACTTCTTACCCCTTTCAGGGGTGCTGGGCACTACACACAGCACCGAGTAGATTTATCTGGCTTTGCCACCTGTAGGGCTTTGAGCAAGTCCTTCCAACATCAGAGTCTCAGTTCCTCTGCTGTAGGAAGGGTTCACAGTAGCTCCTGGGAAATTAGGCAAGAGGCATGTGGCATGGTTGGCAGAGTGCCAGCACAGAGTAAGTGCCCCATAGGGGGCGGGAGAGGCTGGTGCTGTGATGCCAGGGCCTGGGCAGAGGAGGGAAGGCCTGAGGGTCTTGCCAAGGATGTGGAAGAGGCCAGGGTCCCTGTGCCCAGGAGCACTGTAAGGGCCGAAGGTTGAGAACCACTGGAGTGGTCACACCCTTCAATAGCTCTCACCTCTTCCTCTGGGGAGCATGCCCAGGACACACTACCCTCTACTCTCTGTGGCCCCTGCCTTGGAGTCCACGGGCACTCCGGCTGGGGCACTGCTGCTGGTGCAGCTGTTGGCGGGAGTGCCTGCTTGGAGGGACTCCCAGAAGCCAGTGCTGAGTCACTCATCATTGTGAATCCCACAGTGTCTCTGGTGGTGTCTGGGCATAGAGAGTTACCAGGCAGGCACAGCCTTCCCGGGACCCCCACGCAGTCACTGGTCACAGGGGCACTGGGATGGACAGCCACTGGGGGATCTCTCGCTCCCATGTTGGTGATTTCCTTACCCCAGTACCCCAGGAATGTGTTTGAAAGATCCTTTCCACCTTTCAATATTTAATCCAGAGGAGGAAGAGGAGGAGGGGGAGAGGGGCGGAGGCCTGCCACCAGGGGGCAGCCTGAGCAGGCGGGACTAGCCTGTCTGCCTCCTCAGGAAGAGACTACTAGGCCCTGGACCAGCCCTGGGCAAACTACGGCCCGTTTGAAATGAATAAAACTAAAAAAAAAAACGTACCCTTTTATGTAATGATGTTTACTTTGAATTTATATTAGTTCACACACACACTCCATCCATGCTTTTGTTCCGGCCCTCCGGTCCAGTTTAAGAACCCATTGTGGCCCTTGAGTCAAAAAGTTTGCCCACCGCTGCCTGGACCATCATGTCCCAAAGCAAGTCTTGTGAAGGATCTCGCCTTCCTGGACCAGCCTAACCACCCTGCCGGACAGGCCTCAGTGAAACTGTTAGTGCTTTCATGGCGCCCCGGCTGGGGGCCAGGTCCTTGCTCCTTCCTAGGAGTGGGCAGCAAGCCGGGCAGCCGGGATCCCAGAGTTTGCAGACAAGAAGGGGATGGTTTAGGACTCAGCGGTTCTCAACCTGTGGGTCGCGAAGCCGTTGGGGGTCGAACGACCCTTTCACAGGGGTCGCCTAAGACCATCGGAAAACACATATATAATTACATACTGTTTTTGTGATTAATCACTATGCTTTTATTATATTCAATTTGTAACCATGAAATTGGGGTCACCACAACATGAGGAACTGTATTAAAGGGTCGCGGCACTAGGGAGGTTGAGAACCACTGGTTTAGGTGCATCGGTTCCTGGGCCACATCAAGGGGGTGTGGTTGACCCCCGCCCAGGAGAAACTCAAAGCTGGGCGCTGTAAGGTCAGAAAGGTCAGTGTTCCCCAATGCCCTTTGACCCAGCAAGGTCAAGCTTGGAGAAGGTGGCAGCCGGGCTTCCTGCTCCCCCAGGGGGCGCCTGCGCCGGGCCCTGGAGCAGCCAGAAGCGCAGGGGGCGCCAAGCGGCGGGAGGAGCTCACCTTCTCGCCTCCCCGCAGGGTGGCCGGAACAAGACACGCTGTTTGCAGGTAAGGCGCCTAGGGCGCTCGCGTCCCTGCTCCGCACGCCTGGGCCGGAGTGCACAGGGCGCCTCACCTTTTTCGTCTCTCTCGCCCCAGGTTTCGAGAACTCGTCGTTCCTCACATGTAACT